TAGTTTATAAACTATGACATTTATAAATGTATGAATCATATGGTGAAAAACTGACTTTGAAAAATGTCTTTTTTTTCTTGTAAAAGACTAAATAAAACAAAAACATTGGTGGTAATTTTTGACTGTGTAACTTTACAAACGGCACCTCATACAGATCCACTGAGAAACTTTCTGTTTCAGCAACATTTAAATTAAAAACTGGACTTTTGAGGTTAAACAAATGTTCATAACTGATTTCAATAAATTACAAGTTAAGAAGGGCGTGGGCATTTCTCTTTTTGTATCGAAGTAATATCGAAGCGTGAGACTAAAATATCAAACTGAATTGTGAATTTTTGTATGGTTGCAGCCCTGTGTGACATCTAATCAGACAGTTTGTGTTGATTGACAGCTGAGGTCTCAGTGTAAACTGTGAAAGTGTTACAAAGCCATCAAAACATCTTCAAGTTGAGCCGCGTGGCTCCTGACCTTCAGCAGGTAGCGGTCGACTGACTCTCTGTCCAGAGGAGCGTTGACGTAAACCTCCCCGTAGCTGTAGTTCACCGTCTTGATCTTGAAAACATCCTGCATGTTCCCGGCCACCAGAGTGAAATTCACCTGAGGAAAAACCACAAACAAGACGACGAAGGTTTTAACTTCCTGAGCTGAGGAGCTGAACTGGTTGTTCCTCCTTTAATCCTCCTCACCAGTCCGTTTAATCCAGCATCTCGGTCTCGGGCCAGCACCACCGCCACCATCGTGCCCATGGCTGTGTTTTCTGGAACGCTCACAGTCCTATCAGAGGTAATGTCGAACTCTGGACTGTTGTCGTTTTCGTCCAGAACGGTGATGGATACCTGAAGGCAGGAAAAAAAATCATCTGTAGGTTGTTCATCGTAAAAACAACACTGGTGCTTACCTTTAAAGATCGATCAAAACAACTAAAACTCAGTGGTGACGGATAAAAAACCTTCATGTGAAACAGATTCTTACCTTCTACAGTCCCAACGAAAGATGCAAATAATAAAAGAGGAACGCCTTTAAGCTTCTACGACAAAATACACACAAAACTTTGTGCAGTAATATTTAAAACACAAAACAAGTTCGGCCACGTTCAGGGTTCAAACAGCTACATTTCAAATGAGGTCTCGTACCACGGTGGAGCCCTTCTTCGGTCCCCCATCATCAGCTACGATGGTCAGGGTGTACACGTCCCCCTTCTCCCTGTCCACCAGACCCTTCACTGTGATCCGGCCCTGAAACAACCACCACACCACACAGGTACCTCTGAGTCAGTGAAACTCTAAGTATCCAAACAAAGAAACTTCATCTCTCATTTATCAAAGAATCAAACGACTTCAAACAACACAAGTTTTGATCAGTTTACAGTCAAAAAAACAACRAGACTAAATCACAGCAGAGACGCAGTTAATGGATAAGACCTGTTAGAAGGTCATCTCTGCAGGAAACTAGGAGAGTACTGCTGAAAGTATCCAGACTTCGAATACAGACGCACAGACTTGTGTACAGATGAATTTATTGTACGAATATTTATCAAGAATTGTCAGTATTTAAAACATTTTTACTTCCATACGTTGTTTGTAACTCAAATTGCGTAATTTTTCAACAATTCGTAATATCAAAATATTCGGCTCTTTCACGACGTTTCGGCTACGACTTGTGGTATTTCAGCAATTTATACTTTTTGAGATATTTAGCCTTTTTCCACTATTTGTTTTCTGAGCTGTCTTCAACATCTTTAAACCCTTCAGGTTCGTAAGTTTCTACTGAACTTTTGACCTTTTATTCTGGTTCTGCTTTTTTAACTTATTTATGCAAATTTCAGCTTCCTTCAGCTTTTTTATTTATTTATTTATTTATTTATTTATTTATTTAGCTTTTTTTTCGCTTTGTTAGCCATCATTCTGACATTTGTTTTGCTGTCCTGCTACTTTCAACTTTTTAAGCTTCTTTCAGCTGCTTTCTGCTCATTTCAGCTGTTTTTAGCTACTTTTTAGCCAATTTGAGATTTTTTCAGCAAAACTCACCTTTATGTGAAAATTTTAGCTTCTTGTTGCTTAATTCAGCATATATGTGTTCCTTTAGTTTCTTTTTACTAGTTTCAGCTTTTTCAGCTACAATTTAGCTCTTTGTGCTAATTACGGCTGTTGTAGCTGTTGCACAAAAAATTGCAAATTTTAGTATTTTTTATTTCTGCCAATTTGAATTTTTAAATCGTCTGTCGGCTAATTTCAACTTGTTTGTTACTTTTAGCTTCTTTTTGCTAATTTTAGTGACTTTTAGCTTTGATTAGCATGTTTAGCTACTTATCAACGTCACAAATTAGACATTTTTAGCTTATTTTGTGTAAAATTGCAGATTTAATACATTTTTGCTCTTTTTCTACTGATTTCTTACTTTAGTGTTTCTACTTTCAGTAAAATCATCTGTTCAAATTCAACTCTAACCATTTTGCTATTAAACCATTTCAGCTGCTTTCTGCTCATTTCAGCTGTTTTTTGTGTTTTTAGCTACATAACCAATTTGAGCTTTTTTTCAGCAAAACTCACCTTTATGTGAAAATTTTAGCTTCTTGTTGCTTAATTCGGCATGTATGTGTTCCTTTAGCTTCTTTTTACTAGTTTCAGCTTTTTCAGCTACAATTTAGCTTTTTGTGCTAATTATGGCTGTTGTAGCTGTTGTACAACAAATTGCAACTTTTAGGTGATTTTTCTTGATTTCTGCCAATTTGAAATTTTAAATCGTCTGTCGGCTAATTTCAACTTGTTTGTTACTAATTTTAATGACTTTTAGCTTTGATTAGCATGTTTTAGCTACTTATGAAGGTCACAAATTAGACATTTTTTTAGCTACCTTTGTGTAAAGTTGCTATTTTGACACATTTTTGCTCTTTTTCTACTGATATCTTACTTTTGTTTTTATATTTCAGTAAAATCAGCTGTTCAAATTCAACGCTAACCATTTAGCTATTAAACCATTTCAGCTGTTTTAGCAGCTTACAGCTAAAATCTTCCAGCTGTCAGCCTTCACAGTGATTTTCTCTAGTTATTCTTCCGTATTATCCGGGATGTTTTCCCTGACTCACCGTGACGCTGTCGATCTTGAAGAGCGCCAGCGCGGCGGGGGACGTGTCGGGGTCAAAGCTGTAGGTCAGCTGGTTCAGGTTGTCGGCCGACTTGGCCTGCACCTGGATCACCTCGGTCCCCGTGGCTATGTTCTCTCGGAGGGACACCTCGTAGCCGGGGGCGGAGAAGGCCACGGCCTCGTCCAGCTCATTCTGCAGCGTCACGTAGACGCTGCAGAAAACGCGGTGGAACGGCGGCGCCTGATCGGTGGCGGACACGTTCATCAGGTAGCTGGTCTTCGTCTCGTAGTCCAGGTAGTCCAAGGTGGTGATCAGACCCGTGCTCACGTCGATGTCAAACTTACGGTCCGAGCCGGACACGATGGCGTACGCCACGGCTCCACCGTCGCCTGGACAGGAAGTCATAAAAAACAGATTTACTGCAAGCTTAGAGGGATTCAAACGTTACAGCAGGTAAAATAAGTATTGAACACGTCACCATTTTTCTCAGTAAATATACTACTAGAGGTTCTAATGACATGAAATTTTCACCAGATGTCGGTAACAACCCAAGTGATCCATACATACAAAGAAATCAAACCATAAATGTCCAGAAATGAAGTTTTTGTAATAATGTGGAATGGCACAGGGAAAAAGTATTGAACACATGAAGAAACAGAGTGTGAAAAGGCATTGAAAGCCAAGACACCAGCTGAACTC